TTTTTTTTCTTTTTTTTTTTTTTTTTGGTTTGTGTGTGTGTTTGGTCCTTTTGTTTTGACACGTATCCTCTTAATTATATATAAAAAAAGAAAAGGAAAAGAAAAGGAAAAGAAAGAAAAAACAATTGAATAAATAAATAAATAACCATATCGACTATCAAACATTACAAAATTAAACACAACACAACACAACACAATATATATATATATATATACGTACATATGTGCTCCATCTGTACGGTGATGGGGTTTTGCAATGCATGGCATGTGTGGAAACAGGGACGGGGGAAGTGGTTGTCACTGCGTTGCCAGCGCTTCGAGCACACGTTGCAATTCCTTCGTCCCTTTCTTCCTGAAGCTAAAGTTACCAGAGAGTGTCTCGAGGGCACGTACACGTACCACCATGTTACACGTCGCCAGGCCACACTCCGGGCAGTACTGTGCGGTATTTCCTGTAGAAATTCTATTCCGTGGATGATTCAAAAGACAAAACTCACAGAACGTGTGACCACAAGGTACACATGTCAAAGGGTTGCGACACACTTGTAAGCATATCCCACACGAATAGGCGCTCTCCGCTGCCTCCTCAACCGTCATAAGTTTCTGCATCAACGCTCGTATTGTCAATATCGTCTTTCCACGTTCCTCCTGTTGTTGTCGCTGTTGCTGGGAAAAAAAAGACGTGGATGCCGCACATGACAACTCCAGTCGTCGGGTAAGTTCTAATGTTGAGCTAGATAGCCGAGAATGCTCCTGTCTCATGTCATGTAAACTCTGCGACACGCTCAAAGTCCCTCGGCGCAGTTCTCGCAGCTGCAGCCGCATCGCCTCCAGAGACGCATGTTGGGAAGAACACATCGCCTTCACGGCAAGCCGCCTTTCCTCCTGCAGCCGCGGTTCAAACAGAGACCGCCCGCACTCCACAACGGGAGCCGTCGCCCACGCATCCAACAAAATCAAGAAGCGCCGCGTCGCCTCATCCTTCTCGACGGCGTTAAAAGACGCAACGCGACGCGTTTCTGCCTTCCATTCGGCCGCTGCGGAAAAGGCCTTGCATGCGTCCGATGCCTGCCGCACAAGGCTCAGACGTTGCGCCTCCTCAAACTCCATCAGACCCTCGCGCGCGGTTGCTTCATGTCGCAGAAACGACTCGCCGTGGGCACGGTTGGCTGCCACGAGTGAAGCGTCAAGAAAATCACACGTTGTCTTCTCTCTGGCATGCACTTTTTTCATCTCGCTGCGTGTGGTATGCATCCATTCCGTGCACTGAGTGAGTTTCTCGTTGAGCTTCCTTAGACGACCCTGCCAAACAGACTCCTTCGTTTCATACTCTGCTACAAAAGACTCCTTCAGTTTCTGCAAAGCCAACATGTGTTGCTCACGTAACGCCTGCAATTTGGACTCATGCAGACGACGTTGTGTCGCTAACTCCCTTTCATGCTGCGTCTTTAACTCTTGCATCTCCCCACGCAACTGCAACGTCTGCTGTTGAAAAATTTCACTCAACGTTGTCACACCCGTCTGATGTCGTTGCTGTAGATTTTCATATTCCGCCTGTGCATCCTGCAGACATTTTTTGATATCCGTCACCTGACGCTCCAGATTGGAAACAATGCTGTCATGTGCCTTCCCCCGCTCTTGCACCTCACCACGCGTCAACGCGAGCTCCTCCTGCACCCTCTGCCGCAGTAAACATTCATTTTGCTCGTGTATCTCCTGTAAGCTGCATTGTCGTCTCGCATATATCGTTTCACGGCACGCTGCCTCCTCCTGAGACACCGCCTCTCGCACCATCGTCTCAATCTGCTGCATAAGGTTCAATAACGACACGTTGTGCCTCTCTATTCGCCTCTTCGCCATTTGATCCATCGAAACATGCGCCTTCCGCAGAGCAACACACACCGCGTCAACAGAGTCCCATGCGTCGGTTAATGCAGCCCTAACGGTGCACCCGGCATCCGACATGTTCCTCTCATTACTACTCATTTCTTGACTGTGATTGTGAGTGAGAGTTTCCACGGGCATCGAGTTGACACGGCCCCGCACCTCCCTCGCGAACTGCACCACCTCTCCAGTCAGTTCCTTAAGCTCCGAGGTGACGCGTCTCAGCTTTTCTTCCCCCTCCGTGGAGACGCGACACAGCTGTTCACATTCGCCCTGCAGCTGAGTAATCAATCGCTGCTGCTTCTCCATCTGCTCCCGCGCCTCATTGGCGTTGCTCTTAAATTTCTGCTGTTCCTGTCTTCGTGTCTCCTGCAATTCTTTGTGGGATTCCAGGAGGAACTCCAACTCCGCCCGCACGGCGGCGTAAACCTTCAACTCACTCTCGCCAGCGGCATCCCGCTCCCGGAGTCGTTGCACCTCCTCCCGCAATTTCTCCAACTCGGCTCGGTCGCCGCGGTACATTTCACTCAACCGCTCAAAATTTCGCTGAATGGCGTTCACGCTATCGGTCCGCGCCAGTAGGTCCTTCCGCTGCTGCTCAATCACCTGCAGAAGATCCGTCGTTGTGGCTCTCTGCGAAGGGCCAGGGTTTACATAATTCCCCCCGTCTAATGCCTCGCGGGCGTGACTTGTGGAAGGGACAAGAGACGGCAGGGAACTGCTGCAGGAATTACGGTTCGCGTTACTGCTGGCGGCGGTGTGGTGTTGTTTGCTCTGTGAGGGAACCCGCCCTGGCACGTACGGGGCAAAGGCTGGAGAACCAGAAGGAGCCGACATGCGTGTAACCGTTCCCTCTTTCTCTCTCTCTCTCTCTCTTCTGGTGGAAAAGTTGTGTGGTTTTTCCGGCCCGTGAACTTTCCCACACACACACAAAAAAACAAAAAAAAAAAGAGAATATCAACAAAATGACACTGAAGGTAATTTGTCCAGCGCAAATAATGCCAGCTGCAGGCCGGCGCCTCATTCAAAAGCAGCAAGAGAGAAAAGAGGGAGAAGTCTGGATGAGTAGTTAGATGTGGAATTAACAAATTCTTGACAGCCAACAATTAAAAAAAAAAAAAGACGACCTCTCCAGCTATCAAGCACGCACTGCAGAGATGGATGCACACATGGTAACAGTCATGTATACTTACAAGGGTGGTGGGAGGAAAGAAATATAATAAAACAATTCTTCTTTCTTTATTCCTTTATTTCTTTTTGTTTGTGTGTGTGTGTTTCCCTCTTTTTTTTTTTTTTCTTTTTTTCGTTCCATCTGTTAAGTTCCGCTTTTAAACGTTATCATCGCGGCATCGATTGCTTGCGGGTCGTATCTCCCCACCCACCCCTCGACATCCCCCATCTTCTTCTTGTGCCTTGCCTTTTTGTTGTTTGCTTATTTTTTAGTAGGATCACACAGCCACACCAAAGTGTACATGTATAATGGATATCACAGGCAACACCAACAACAACAGAAGAAAAAAAAAGGAGGGGGGGGGGAGGGGTAAATGGCTCGGAATGCGGTGCGCACATTAACGATAAATACATGTAGCGAGAGTGGATGGGGGGTACCGAATCAAATACCACAAAACAAAACAAAAAAGAGGATCTCACACACACACACACACACACACAGAGACACCTATCTCTCTCTCTCTCTCTCAGATCGCTATGATGGTCATTGACCGTCCTCCAGTACCCTGTGCAACCGTGGCAGCAAATCGTTTCTTAAGCCAAAATGCGGCAACTATCGTCAGGCCAAGAACAACCAACAAGAGTGTATCCCACCAGGAGACAATAGGGCCAGTTCTCCCAATGGAATTAAGTGCAAAGGCACCAAATCGTACGGTAAGATATGTCTGTGGAAGAATACCGAGACATGTAGCCAGTGCAAACACCCGGAGTGGAACACCCACCACAGGGGAGGCCAAATTAACAAGCCAATTCGGTAATATTGGAGTAAGTCGAAGAAATAAAAGATACACAAACAAATCCCCACGGTATCTGGTTACCTGCAAACGTATCTTTGCCAACCCTTTTCCCTTCATGAAACGTCCATCCATCCGCTCCACAAGACGCACCCCAATGAGAGAAGAGAGGATATAACAACACGATGCGCCAGCAGTTGCAATAAACGTGCAATACGGCACCCCCAAAGGCGTTCCCAACACCGCCCCTGCAACGGCGTTCAGCACGACTGTGCCGGGGACACAAAGTGACTGCAGGAGGAGATACACCACCGTGATGAACACCATTATCTGTAACAGTTGGTTCGCCGCCAAAGTCCGAATTTCCCTACAAAAACTCGCAATGCCAGAAGCAGAACGTAAGGAGGTGTTACTACTTCGAATGATGCCTGCCATGGCACCCATAAGGGCAAAGGTACCGGTAAAGTACATCAACAACATCAATACCACCAAAATGAAGAGAAAAACCCTAATCAAATGAAAGGGCATTCCACCGCAGTTCGCAACGTGGGTAAAAACAACAACTGTAACAAGTAAACAGCTAAAAAAAAAAGACCCCTGATTATTTTCGGCATCTAACCACATTAAAACAAGCGTTTCACTCTAAGCTTAATGCAGGATCTCACACAAACACACAAAAAAAAAAAAAAAAAGAAAGTGGGAGGGTCTCTTCCTCCTATAAATAATTATTGAGACACAATTCTTATTTGTATATCCCCACCCCTCTACACCCCACCTTAATATATAACCTTCTTGCCTCTACTGCTGCTTCTGTTGCTAACTCTTATTCTATCTGTATATGTACGTATATGCGTGTTTATGGTGTTGCCTCGTTACCAACCTTTTCTTGTGTGTGTGTGTGTGTGTGTGTTTATTAAACCCACAGAAACAAACAAACAAACAAGCAATGAAGCAGAAGGCAGATGCAAAGCACCATTCAGAAACACTGGCATAACTCCAATAAATGCATTCGGAAGGGGGAAAAAAAAAAAAGAATACTCACCCGGGCCGCTGACCGGACCTTGCGGTTGTCAATAGAAGCCACACAAGACGGGAATAAGAAGGAGTGAACGGAATGGGGACGGAGTTCGCCAGATCCTCGATGAGCCCTTACACCAAGTGCGTGCATATTTATTTGTGCGTATTGTGGTGGCCACCGCCGCGGCGTGATCCCTACATCCGGATTGGGCGTGTATATGCATCTGCATGTGTGCCTTCATAACTCACGAGGTGGCAGACTTTGGACTCCTCCAGCCACACGAACACGCCACAGGGTGGGGATCACAAAGTGGGCGGGCGGGACGGCAGAAGCAAAAAAATTAAAAGTTATCCGGACACCACCGCCTCCCTGCTTCCGGAACCGTGCCAGTCGACAATTCATAAAATAAAATAAAAAAAGGGTCATGTAGAGTTCCCTTTATCAGCATACATATATTGAATTAGATAGCCAACTTGCCCCGTGAACATTCTCTTCAGAAACTCCTCAAAAAAAAAAAAAAAAAAAAAGGGGGGTGCCCGACAGGTTTCATGCGAGACGCTTGACGGCGTTTATTTCCTTCACTCGCAAACTCACACGAGATGCGTCCTTCTGCCTATTGATCCCCCATTCAGTCTGCCACGGTGCTCCTCCTTCCATGCCCAGCCGTCGGTGCACCCCGCTGGCATTTGAACTGACGCGCCCCCCGAACCCGACACAAAGCCGTCATGACGCAATCAGTGAAAAAGAGAAATAAACTAAAAAGAAAAAAGAAAAAAGAAAAAATGGCATACATAAATCATCTAGAAACCCATTTTATTATTATTTCCCTCGTTTGTGTGTTTTCTTGTTTCTGGGGGGGGGGGGGAAAAAAAAAAAAAAAAAAGGAGGATGGCAACTGGCAAACAGCTCTTCAAAAAGGGAAGAAAGACGGTAGAACAGAAGGGTGAAGTTTTCAAGACATCAGCCACGAGAATAAACAAAAAAAACGGATGCTTTTTTTATTTATTTATTTACCGCCTGAAGACACGCACAAGCAACAACAACAAACAAAAATATACGTAAATAAATAAAATGGAACGTCTGCACGATTGAAACGGACATCAAAAAAGGCAAACAGGCATCAACAAAAACGCATACATGTGCACGTGTAGGTGATGCATTGCTAAGCCACATTGAGCAGCAGAACGTGGTGGTGGGAGGAGGAAGTAAGACGCATTCCTTTTTTTCATGCCTCAACAATACACAAAGAAGTCATAAAGATGAATAACAACCATACTAGAATAATACGATAATAAAAAGACAACAACAACAACAACAACAAGAAGGAAAAAAAAAAAGGTGCACAGGAGATGCTGCACTCGTTTCCCCCTCCCCTCTTCTCTCTTCTCGCTTTATCTTCTCGGCTTCTTAAAGACACGCGTTACGACTCGCGTTCACGGCTTGTGGAGAACATCAGTGGACGTTGGGGCGAACACAGCGGTGGGGAGAGGCTGCAGACCGATTCCGAGCTCAGTGTGAGTCGTGCTGCCGACGCCGCAAGCTCCATCGAGAGACGTGGGGAGCCGGACGGAATACCAACGCCGTCTTCAGAGAAAGAATACAAGCCGTTCTGCCGCGACGTCTCCTGCTGCGCTCGATGCTGCTCCTCCAATCGACGCCACCTGCAGAATACGGCACGTTCTTCCTCCTGGAGCGCCGCTGCCCGCTCACGAAGTTCTGCCACGCGTTTTTTAGCCTCTTCGCGTTGCTGCAGAGCGTATTGCTTTAAAACAGTCACCTTATATGTCTCATCCCCCAGTTCCGCCTCCAGGTCCTGCAACAGCCGCTGCTCCTCCGCAAGACGGGACTCTTCCGCCTTCACCCTTTCTTGTGCACGCTTCACATCGTTCTCGTAACCCGCCAACTCCTCACGAAGTGTCTGCACATAACTTGTCTCCGTGCTGAGTGCGGCCAGCAACTTTGGCTTCACTTCCAACGCTTCGGCCAGCTCATCCTCCAGGGACTGCGTCTTCATCTGCAGCGCCTCAATAGCCATGCGATTTGTGTGTGGCAATTCGCCCAACTGCGCCGCGTTAGCAAGAAACTGGTCGACTCGCTGTTTCCACGTCACAGGGTTTCGAACAGGAGCGCGGTCCAGCAGACGTTTAATGCAGGTCTCAAGAAATCCAATTGCCTGCGCCCGCTGCTGTTCTGACGGCACACGAAAAAAGTACATTTTTCGGGGCTCTCGAAAGATCACCGCAAAGTGGTAGTAGTTTTTGTCTCTACAATACGTGTAGGTTTCCGGGTCTGGGTTGTGAATGATCGCCTCCACATGGCAGTGACCGTTGCGCACAAGATAGCGGTGGCCGTGAATGCGGCTCTTGGTGCCCGGCCTTGGCTTCTCAGCGAACCAGTCAATGGACTTCTCTGACATTTGTATAAAGCGGGACTGCCAACGTCGCAAATGGCCCCCTCCAAGTTTCTCCATGGACATTTCAAGATGGTCTTGATGCATCAGCATGGGCTTGTAGTGCCTGTCGACAGCGATACGAAGGGCATCGCCGTGGGATATGAGAGCACCGCATGTCTCGCACAGCGGCCGCGTATTAGGCTCGGCATCTGTCTCCCGTACGGGTCTAAGTGGGTCGCTAATAAGCGCCAGCGGTTCCCCCTCACGTGGACGCAACAAAAACGGAAACCAACCAATCTGACGCGACGCGTAAAACTCATCGTTCTCCTCATCCGTGTCATCCTCCGTGTTACTTTGCGGTGGTGGTGTCAGTCGTCCTCGTTGTTGCTGTTGTGTTCCCGAGCGACTCATATCGGATGGAGCTCTCATCCGGCTTTGCGGCTGTTCGGCAGCGCGTGCAAGTCGCAGAGTTGTGCCATTCCTCAAGCCGAGCTCATTGGGGGTGCGGCGTACATCAATCGGCTCCCCGGACGACGGTGTAAAAATGACGTAATCACTTAAGTCCGCCACCTCCACTGTTGTGTTGTTGTTGTTGTTGTTGTTGTTGTTGTTGTTGTTGTTACCGGGGTCACGATGTCCCTCAGCAATGGCCGTGTTCAATGAGAAAATCTGCGCGGCGTCCGAAAGTGGGAGATCTTCCTCAACGATCCAAGCAACACACCTTTCCGATGCACCCAGACGCTTCACAAAGCCGCAGCTGTCATCACAAATCAACTTGATGAGCATGATGAATGAACCCAATTGTCCACCCAGCGCAGCCGTTAAATAAAAACTGCAAGCACACATACATTGCGCACATGTATAATTGCCCAAGTAAAAGGAAACAGGAAAAAAAAAAAAAAAAAAAAGAAGGATATGTCCATTGATAAAAAAAAAAAAAAGAGAGAGAGAGACAGAGAAGTTATTTCACAGCATCTCTGCTCTTCTCTGTCTGGTAAAACAGAAACAAGCAAAAAAAAAAAAAAATTGACACTCCACTTCTTTTTCTTTTTTTTTTTTTTGTCTTTCTTAGGGTTCCGGTTCCCCTTTTCCATCATTCACGTCGTTTCCCTTCCCATCAGCACAATTGTACTCTTTTATATTCCTTCTCCTTCTGTGTATTTCCTTTTCTCCCCTCTATGATGCATTGGCACTCTATGTGAATCTCTTTGCTTACTCATACCCCTCCCTCCCCCCTTCTCTCTCTCTCTCTCTCTGGGTTGAATTTATATCCGCAAACCGCTTACAGTTTTTCCTTTCACATTTTTCTCTCTCTTTTTTTTTGTTTCCCCCCTCTTGAATTTCTTTTTCTTCTTTGGCGGGAGGATTAAAACGCCATACGCGGCACCGCCATATCCATCACGCCCCCATCCCCGTCCTCGTCGTGCTCTTCCTCCTCCTCACGGTATCGTTTACGCAGCGCTTCTCCAAATGAGGCGCTGCGTGGGGCAACGTTCTGCGACGCCTCGTGACCCACATCCACCAGTAGTGCCTCGAGTGTGACAGGGGTGCCGCCCTCTAGCTGGTCAAGGAATGGATCCACTACAACATCGGCTGTCGTGTCTGCTGTTGCCACCAGCGCGGCGGGACGCGCAACAGGGAGCGCCTTTGGGCAAAAAAGGTTGGCAGCTGGACGCAGGTGTTCTTTAGCAGCGTCAATAACGGGTGAAAAAACTCGCTTGTTGCCATTAATGGGGACGCTGTTCCTGCGGCTGTTGCCTTCGCTGGCAGCGGCAGCAGAAGGTTCTGGTGAGCATGTCTTCATGTCGGTACTCTGCTTTGACAAGCTGGCCGCCGGAGAAACCGACTTCTGCTCCTGCTTCCTTTGCGCTTCCAGTCCCTCCGCCATGTCAAGAACCATCGACGACTGCGAGTCTCCAAGCACCAAAAAAGATGACGGGCGGCTGACCGGCGGTGGTTGCGCCGACGAACTTGTAAACGTCATCATCGTCGTCTTTGCAGGCTTGCTAAAAGGGTTTTGTGGCTTTGTGCGGGTAGGCGGTGTTTTCGACTGGGTCGGCTGCTGGGGGCTGTGGCTACTCTCCCTGTTCACACTGCGGCTTGGGGTTGTGGTCGTGACCTCCGCAAGCCGTTTCGTTGGCGATGTTCCCTCCTGATCCGTGAAGGTCACGTGCCGTCTCGATGGACTCGCAACAGAAGTGGGGGCGTCATCGACACGTGACCGTCGCTCTGGCGTCGTTACCGCGCAAACTCCTGCGGAAGACGGCGGCGAAACTTCCTTCTCCGTCGCTTCAACCGCCCCCTCAGCCGGCTGCGGCGCTCCGGCGCCAGAGGTCTTTTCTTTCGCCAGCATCTTCCGCAAAAGCAGGTCCCTCTCGCGTTCACTAACGACGGACCCCTCAAGCGGCAACGTGCACCGACGCTTTTTCTTTGCCTTCACCCGCACCTCCAGCAGCGCAAGTAACTTCTGCACAAGTTTCCCGTGTCCCTGCGCGTTGGCTTCCTTGGCGCACACCTCAATGTTGTCTCTTAGTTCAAGATACGTTGCTAGATCCAGGGCACGTGTCGTCTGATGTTCTTTCAGTGCATTTTTAAAAAGTTCAATGATCTTCTTGTCGTGCAACGCGTCGTGTTTGGCAATGACGGCGGTGTAAAACGTGCTGCGTCGCTTCACCTCATCCGCACGCACCTCCCGTCGCAGCAGGTGGTCCCACGTGACCATATCCCTCTCCGTACCGCACCGAGTGAGTGGAAGGAACAGGCGCACGTGCTCCGTTGGTAAACCACTGGCGATAGCAGCGGGGTACGGCGGGTCGCTCTTGCACGAACGGTACGCAAACACTGCCTCGTCGCTGACGCCCCATATCCACAAGTTGTACGTCTGGTCCGCCATGCACCGCGGATCCAGCACCGGGATCCAACTCCCTCCCCAATTGAATGTAAACATGCGCAACACCCCAGCGGTGTCAGCGAAGTGCAGGGGACCGTCCTCGGACCACCCCATCCACTGCAGCTGATGCAAACTACCATCCGAATGCGTGGTGAGAGGGACAACAACAGGGGGTAAAACGACGGAGCGCGAGCCCACGTCAAGCACCTGCAGCCGCATCTCCCCACCACTCTCCAAATAACACACCGCGAGCGGATCAAAGTCGGCCTTGAAGGAGCGCATAATTTTACTGCTGTTTGTTCCCACCATCGCAACGATGCGAGGAAAAAGGCTGAGCACGGCGAGCTCAAGCCCAGAAAGGGAGAAGAGCCGCAGATAACGGCTCGTCGCGACTGCAGTGAAACGAATACCGGCAGTAAGGCAGCGAACAGTTTCGCCTGGGTAAAGCCGCACACGCCAATCTGACTGCGCCCCAAGGGCGACAAACGTGCGGTAGTATAAAGTCAAACGCGGCGTGTCGTCCACGCTGTCCATTTCAGCGTCCTGCGTCAACACAAATGCGGCTCCCACAGGACTCAACGCAGCCATTAAAATGGTGCCACGTTCCAAAATACGCACTGCTTGAATAGACATGTCGTGAAAATGGATATTGGTGCCGTCGGCAGTGCTGTGAATGTAGCCAACAGAGTTGTACGCCAGATAACAACTTCCCTCCTCCCCTACAGGTGTCGCGCCAATCTGAAAGGAATAATCAAACACAGCCGTCCCTGTATCTGCGTTTTTTGCTCGCAGAGAGAAATCATGTGGCGGATGCAACGATGCCAATGACTCGTTTTCATCTGTCGCATCCGCCACTGACCCGCTGTCATCTTGACCATTATGACCGTGTTCACGACTAACATATTCCTCCCCTTCCATGACGTCATTGCCTTCACTATCGTTATCAGACGACTCTTCTGCCTCGTCGTCAAGAAATACAGAGCGCTGCTTACGGCAAGCCTCCTCAGCAATTCGAAGAACCTCTTTTGGATTCTGACTCCGCCACCGTGAAGGTCGCTCCTCCTCTTCACTGTCATCATCCTTGTAATTTGGATTGGTACGTTTCAAATCATCCACCACCTGCCGGAAGTCTTCCTTGGCGACGGAGGTGAAAGATGATGACGAGGCTCCATCGTCCACATCGCTGCCGCTTTCACTGCTGCTAACGCCGATGATACCGCCATTCTCACCGTCATCGCCATCCGGTTGACGACGAGTGTCCTGGGGATTCTTCTTGACGCCGTCCTGCGCCTTTTCTCCGTCGTTCATTCTGTTTTCCCTTCGCATCTTTTTCCTCTTTGAGACATCGGTGTTGCCGGCGACAGGCCCGGCGCCCGCATCCGCCGTCCTCTTCGAGCCCAACGCCTTTGGCGCCTCACGACGCAGGTACGTGACAACACCGTCCCGCGTCCCAACGACAACATCGCCGCTCATCGCATCCACATGGACGTCCGTCACATCTGCAAAACTCTGCCCCTGTAGGCGCGTCACCACCCACTTGCGGGCGTCCACCTTCGCGACAACAACGCCGGTGGTGCCAGCAAGCACAACGCAGAGAATGTTTGTCGAGAGGGAGTAGCACGTGACACCCAGTAAGTCTGTCATGCCAAAGCTGTCAATCCCAGCAATGGGCCGGAGACGGTGCTTGTATGGCGGTGACGTGGCCTCCTCAAAGCGCAGCACTTGTGCCTCCGTCACACCGGGGACAAGTAGCAGCAGAGAGCCATCGCCCCCACGAGCCCAACACAGTCGGTAGGCGACAGCGTCGTCACGCTTCGCTGTCGGGGAGAGAAGTTTTGGAAGCACAAAACAGACGCCTTTGAGCCGCTCCATAGCAGCCTGATGCTCTGGCAAAAGTTCCTCTTGAGAAAAGGGTGTTGCCTGTGTGCTGATAGAAGTGCATGCAGACACGACGCCTACGGCACCGCTCGCAGAGGCCATGGAAATAAGATTTCCACATGGAGATAAGGCAAGGCCAACTAACGGATGTGGAACATTCATCGGCATAGTCTGGACACTGCAGCCTTGTGGCGACATTTGCAGACAACGCAGGGAATCACCACCAATAAACACACGCCGTCGCTCCGTGTCAAACAAGACACAACGAACTTCACCGGTAACACGACATATAACGCGTGAGGTGGAGGCGGAAAGCACGTTCTCGTGCAGGACAACGTTACCGTCCCGGCCGCACGATATCGCCAATCCCAACACCGCATGCAGCGCGACGCATGTGACGGCTCCATCATGACACTGTCGAGCCCAAAGCTGCTTGCAAGACGGCCATCGTTTCTTCGGATAAAAAGTCACAACACCATCGGTGCCGCCCGTCAAGACATGTGCGCCGTCCACACACACACGTGTCGCCCCGGCTGGATGAGCCTGCAGTTGCGGAAGCATTCTCTCAAGCAACAGAAAGAAAAGGCATCACAAGCAAACGCGCATTTGGACGTGTGTTATATGAGCAGGTAGAAAAAAAAAAAAAAACAGAAAGAAAAGGCTGTACATGGGTACGGGCACGTTTCTATAAATTAGTCAGGGAATCACAGAAACCAGCCATGCACTCCGCAGCAGTAACAGTAGCAATAATAGCAATAATCACAACAACAGTACAAAAAAAAAAAAGAGTCCCACCATGATTCCCATATTATTCTCCTGTCATAAATGGACCTCCTACGTCGTCTATGACCCTTTATCTGGTGTGCCGTCTCCGGTTTTCTTCAATGCAGAAAGTGACGCATCTGCATTGAGCAAAGCAGACGACATCGAGCTCAGCTGCCGGTGCTGTTCCTGTTCCTTCGCCCGCTCGCGGGCCCGGCGGACAGCATTCATAAGGCGCTCCAATGTGACACCAGAGGACGATTCACGCGAACGTGGCGGTGATAGAGAGGCCGAAGGAGAAACCGTTACGGGTGCCACCGGCGCCGCGGCTTCTTCCACCGATGAAAGTGGCGGTGGTATTGGTGTCACCTCCGCTCCCCGCCTGACGCTGCTGGATGAGTGAAGGCAGCACGCGGCTTCTACCGCATCTAAACGTCGGCACAACGCCAGCAGCTCCTCGCGAATCCCGCCACTCGTGTCCTCCAGCGGCACAGGGCTGTCGACCACGAGATCCACATCACGCATGGACACGGCAGGAGCAGTCGCCCTCTCCGGCAAGGGCCTCACAACCGGCGCAGCCAAAGGCGCGTCTGCCCCCTCAATGATATTATACGGCTGCTCCAAAACACCCGACGATACCGGTATACCGTAATTCAGCTGGTACCATGCCGTGGCGAGCTGCTGAGTCTCCGGTGCTCTTTGAACATTCCCGCCGGTGGCGTTTTCTTGGGTCATCCAAAACCGCTGCAGTGCAGTATTGTCACAATGATGATATTCATGTCTGTCTGCATCACCAACAGCACCATCTGCACTATAAGGAAGAGAAGTTTGTGCAGCACGTGGAAACGCCGAAGATGCCGCCCGTACCGAAGAATAAAAGACAGAAGACGGTATGGGGCCATCCACCTGACGTCGCCACCACGGATGTAAAATTGGCGTGATATTTGCGGTATCAACCACATCCACGAAGCGCTCACCATCTGACATCCAACAAGATGAACGAAGCCGTTCGACGCTGCCTGGAACAAAAGCAGTGGCGTTCATTGCCAACAATTTAAAGTCATTCTCCATCTCACGACCATACGGATGGAAATGCGCGGCTATATGCTGTGAAGCCTCCTGTGGCATCATCCCCACCCGACTATCAGTAATGTCAACGTGTGCGTACGTATTTAGGCAGTTCTATAGCCAGCACCCCTCAACAGAAAGAAAGAACGACCCTCAGAAATACGCGCACACGCACACAGTTCCACAAAAAAACAAAGAGAAATAGGCAGAGGCGGCAAAGGAAAAGCGTTAAGGGAAAAAAAGGACAAAAGGAAGAAGGCGCAAAGATGACAACAAAAAAGCAGCCAAAATAACACCAAGAAAGCAGCAACCACAACAATAACAGTCACGTGGCTGCGGCCTCCTCCGCCCACTCCCCCTATTCTTACAGAAGGGGAAGGGGAAAAAAAAAGAAAAAAGAAGAGACAACATCCCATACAAAACACACACCTCAGAGGGGATTCACCGCGCATGCATACACCACCACTAAAACGCACGCATGCAAAAGGCATACGCCACCAGCAGCCGGGAGCTCTCGTTGCAAAGTCACGGGGTGGCAGTCTTTGAAAAAGAAACCCGCAACCGCCAGCCTCCCCCTCCCACGTGGTGAGGGAGGACGGCAGCAGGGGGCAACGAAGTAAAAGCAACGGCACTCGCTGCCTCCCCGGCGTGGTGTCGATGGGAAATAAAAGTCAATAATAAAAGGAAGCAGGGCGGCTAAACAAGCCACACCAACACCCACTTGGCTCCATTGGGTCGCACATCCCTTCACGCAGCCTCCTAGAAAGGAAAAAAATAATGCGAAAAAAAAAAAACGGAGTATTTGAAATAGACATATTCATACATCTCTCTCACTTCTCTTCTCTCACTCAGCTCCCAAATTTCCACTGTGGCAGCCCAATCATCCTCGTCCATTCACCCTTTCCCTTTTTCGGTCTTTCCTTTTGAGTGGGCTCATTTGTTTTGTTGTTGTTGTTGTTGTTGTTTTGCTGATAATATCCCGTCATCCCTAATTTTGTTTTTGGCCATCCGCCGTGTTGAGTGTGTTGGATAAAGCCGAGAGAGCGTAAATGACGTCGTCTGGGCGCAATGGCATTCTCAAGGGGGGATTTGTGATGAAGTACCGTGGCAATCCTGGCAGCCCCTCCGATGCCGGGAAAAGGCGAAACACACCGATGGCCACCCATGAGCGCCGCGAGAGAAGAAACGAAAAGGCGTCACCGAAGGTTTGAAAATGCAGCAGTTGATTGCCGCAAAGTTGAAAGGCGGTCCCAAACTTCCTGCCGCAGCTTAACCACGGTGCAACGTCATAATGGTCCATTTTTCCCTGTTGTTGAAGCACCATCGCAAAGAAATAAATGATGCGTTGGTCATGGTGGGCATGAATAAATATTGTTTGCAGCATATTTGGTGAAAAGCACCGGCCCATCATGAAGGCCAGTGAGTCTTGAAATTGTTTCTCACCTCGCCGGCGCCACTCCGGATCGGTGTGGTACGGACTGACGGAAATGCAGGAGACAAACGACTTCAGCTCCAACACCACATTTTGCTCCGGCAGACTTATCGGCTCCGTTTCTTCTTCAACCGGCTCCCTCACCGGATGACAAGCGCTTGCCTCCAGCTTTGCGCATACATTGTTCCCCACAGTGATGAGTGGGATGTCCGAAAAATCCCATGCGCCAAGCTGTGAGCAGTAAAGAAGGATCCCGCGCAGCTTAGAAATACCCCCGCTCTGCCAGATGGCGTACTCCAAATGAGACTCCGACGTACTCAAACCACGTATGTAACGCAACGGGTACCTAAATGTCCGCTTCCACCAGTCCAAAAACTCTTTCGAGAGTTTCCGAGAAGTAAGGAGTGTTAAACGGGACTGGGTATAAATAGAATGTATGCTGTGCATCATTTCTGAGAGCTCATTGTGTGAGACGTCCTCATCGAGGTATTTTTCATACAGTGACGCAACCGCAGGTTTTTTAAAGGATGTCACTTGGTCAATGAAGAGAAAATTTTCCGTGCTGTCCTCCTTTCCCACCCCGTTAGTATACTCCGCGGCAACATGTGTAAGAATGTCGTTGATTTGTTGCTCCAGCCGTTCAATGGAGTCCATTGTTGTGTCATGCGTCTCGGAAATTGCAGCCCGGCGGCAGCTCAACAACTCCCTCAGCATCGATGCGGAATCGCCCAACGGAAGCTCCTTCAGAGAAACGCCTCCTGGATGTTTATCAACAAACGGCTCCTGTAGCAGTTGTCGTCGTAGCTCCAACATACTTGAATCACGAATTAGTAATTCCTGAAGGGCCGGTGAAGGCACACCTTTCTGTCCCCCCACACCATTACTCAGCCATGAGGGAGCGCCTCTTCCCTTCCCTGGAGGCGCCTTCGCTGCCTCTTCATCCATCAGGTCAAAGCTCCTGTTAAAGGGGTAATAGAGCTTGTTGTCATTCATGCCCGCGCTCTTCTCATCCGTCTCGAGCCCAAAGAGATCCTGCCCGGACATGGTAAAAGAGCCCCAGTTTGGTTGAGAATCAACAAAAGCGTCGTTATTGACCGTGCTACCACCCAATGAAGTGACAGCACCGCTCCCCCCTGGTTCAAGTCGTTTCAACACCTCCAATAAACTGACCCGACCACGTTCGTGTATAACAAGCAGTGTATCGCCCTGCTCAAGGGCATATTCCAAATCCAGTCGCATGACTTTACGGGACCCCTCCTCCACGCCCACAACGAGGACGTCATGCAACTTCATAAGCCGCACGGCGCGGGAGATTGTGAGATGCACAAAAAACCATGGCACTGGACATGTGGCAAATATATTGCGTCGACTGTACTCATACAAGTTCTTCCAGTTGTCCTTCTCACTCTCATCCCACAGGTTTGGTGGGGAGATGCCTGAGGCGGAGGAGATGCGCACAAGATTGACAAGAAACGGCAACACCCCAGGTAGCAACAAAGCAGCTGACATAATAAATTTATTGTTCTGGTCAATCATAAACATCCCTCGTCCCCGTAAAAGCCTCGCATGAAAGGCAAAACGGAGCCGCAAATACTGCGGAACGTGTGGGGCACGGCGTTGAAATACGGTGGACCATAGCATGCTATCCGCATCCACAGTTTTAGAGACTGCATCTTTCCCGGGAAGAATAATGATCGCGGACGACTCTGATATCCGCAGACGTTCCAGCATTACTCTATCAAGAAACTTCACCTGAAGAAATTTACTACGCAATCTGTAGCGTGGGTGACGACCAATCGCCAAAACATCCGGTGAGAAGGCGGTGTAGCAAAAACAAACCGTTTTCATGGGGTAAAGAGTCAAAACCTCCTCAAGAATCGACACGGCATCTTCTCGACTGACGTGACCGTATACAAAGAAATGATTTCGCCTTCCTGTGTAACGTGGAAATTCCCGTAGAATCTGTGTGGTTGATATCACCAGCATAATCAAAGAAGACATCATAGCGAGAAAAACACATATAATAACAATGGCTAAAAAATGACCATCCAGCCCATGTGGAATAATATCCCCATACCCAACCGTTGAAATCGTCACCACCATCCAGTAGATAGCAAGGTCAATTTCTAAATTATAGCCACGAAACACCTGATGCATGTGGAAAATGCACCCAAACGTAAACAACAAGGCGACAAAAAAACTTAATGGACCAGCAGCAAAACGAATGACATCCAGTCGATGATTACGTGGAGTGAATGTAGCCAAGGAATCTAGCACAAAGAGAAAATACTGTCGCATCGGCCAGCAGCGTAAAAAAAGAGGCACGTAAAGACGACTAACCCACCCCATGCCACTCACAAGTGCCACAAAATATGTAATTATTCGATAGCCTGATGTCACCAGCACGATAGTGATAGTTACGGGACCAACGTTGTACGCAACAAGAAGTTGGGAAAGAAGAACAATAGAAAGAATGGTCTGAGTAGTGGCGTACCAGTCAAAATCATGCATGCCGTATTCAACCCATGTCACCTTGCCAGGGCGTGTTGTCTGTACAATATAAAGCGTAACAATGGCCGTTTCACACACAAAAAGAAACAACCATACACATATCGCCAAAACGGGGTGTTTCCGCACAAAAGCTTGAAAGAAAAGTTTAGGTCCTGTCATCATGGGAAAACCAAATGGGGGCTGCCCTCGCCAACGGGGCCCACAAAAGTAAGAAAAGTACGAAGCCAAAAAAGAGCTCTTACAATCTGAACGTGTATTTTTTTCTCTTTCATGGTCTTGTATTTGCAACAGGAACGCACGCCGCGTAGGACGATATTGAGTACGATTACGGTAACGCCATGAACGTACATATGGGGAAAATGCAGCGTACCGCCTGTCGTGACCGATCATTGTGAGGTCAACCACGTCGTTCATGACGTCATCCCCAGCATGCAGATTGCCGCCTGAGATGGACATCTCCGGCACAACGCCTGAAAAAAACGTATTGTCTCCCCCCTTCATCCTTCTTTATTCGCCTCTCTACACACTCAGAGAGCGAGAGAGCGAGAGAGCGAGAGACTCACCGCAGCCACACCACTACAATCTTTTAAAGAAATATAAATAAATTAAAATAAAAACTTCCCTTGTGTGTTTTTGTTGTTGTTGTTGTTGCTTCACTTCCCCTATCCCCCAAATATTTCAGCAAATGCAGAAGACACAGAAATGCAGAAAAGCCCCAGTGAAGTGTGAGTTTACCATTTCAGCCCCCCCAAAAAAAAAAATAAAAAAATAAAAACACAATTCATCCGTGTTTAACATTCCCCACAACACTCACACACGTGTATGTGTAGACACGCAAACACAAATACCCGCTGGTCTTTTTTTTTTTCATATAAATAAATAGATAAATATTTAAATAAATATGTGTACTTCTCCCGCTATCGTTAGTGGTGACGGCATTGCTACATTTCCACGTCTCATTTCCATCATGAGTTATTTATCCCAGCCACATCGTGGGTGTACAACATGTCATTTAAAAAAAAAAAAAAAAAAAAAAACAACGGTACCGTCATCACAGCCACAGTGATAGAAAAACAGTCCGATTGTATAACTGTGTGCATTTGCGTGTGTACAGGCATGGCACCTGCATTATTGGCCGTGTGCGCATACACCCAGATGTATGCAATATTAGTGTTAGAGTTGAATAGACAGAGTTGATGAAGTGGAGTGGGGAGAGGAGAATGGCAGGAAAAATAAAAATAATAAAAATCAACATATCAGAAGCACACTCACATGCCGAAAGAAACAAGGGAATAAAAAAAAAAGAACAGGACCTCTTCAAAAATTGTCTCCTCCTTCAGAGTCTTACAATTTGATCCGCCTGTTGCAGCAATTCCACGTCGTGTGTCACGCAGAGCGCCCCGCGCAGTCGTCCTGACTGCAACAACCCCCTCAGCTGCGTCATGACAGCTCTTCTGGACGCCTCATCGAGCCCAGCGGTGGGTTCATCCATCAGCAGCACACCGCCACCGTGGTACAGGGCCCGAGCTAGCATCAGGCGCTGTCCCTGCCCGCAGCTCAGACGCAGAGTCCCGGGCGTCGCCCAGCCTGTTATCGATGACAACGGTGTGAGAAGTCCTTGTGGTAGGCGCTCAATGAAGTCCATGCATGCTGCCGCCTCCGCACATTCCCGAACTCGGGAAAGTAGTGAGAGGTTTGTTACCGATATCGAACTCCGTAGAGTGATATTTTGAGCAATCGTAGCTCCAGGGAAAAGTGTAGCAATCTGTGGCATGTAACTAAACAGAGTAGATCGGAGGAATCGGTGTGGAATGGAGGCAACAGGCAGCCAAAAAACTTCCCCATCATCACCGCAGACATGGTTACCGTCAGGCATACCGTCACCGTTGCACGTTGAGTGTAGCTTCATTGTCCGTCGCCTGCGACGTCGCAGCTGCAGAGATAAACTGTTGGCATTTGTTTTGTACAACGCCAGGAGGAGCCGAAGAAGGGTTGTTTTCCCGCAGCCACTCGGCCCTGTCACGCATATAAGCCGTCCTACCCCTGTCAACTCATCCTGTAGCTGTAGAGTGAATGAGGCGGGTGAGAAGAAGGCGTTAACGGTGGGCAAAGTTGGGTACTGAAACTGCAGGCCGTCTGCTCGGATGCGAAGTACCTCCACCTCCACACCTCCTCGCAGCAGGAAACCCTTCCTTGCTTCCTCATCACACAGAGACTCCCTGTTATCACCACCATTCATATCCCTCGTGGCAGCACCAACACCACCTTCCAAAACTTCTTCTTTCTCCCAGTTCCTGGGGTCCAGTATCCGCTCCAGGGCATTTGCCTTGTATGCATTGTTTACTACCACCTCTATCACCCGCCGAGCATCCAGCGCCTCGTCCAGAAGCTCCTGTACAGCACGCATAGCTTCCATAAGAAGTCCCTGTGCCTGAGACCTGGCCGCCGCTTGGGCCGTCACAATGGCCGGCAGTAGCCACTTCATAAGAGATGCGAGGGCGTCAATGGTCCACAAACGACGAAGTGAAAGTACCACACGCACAATACGCCGCACCGTTCCAGGCCCCTTATGACCCTGTGACATCTGTTCCGTCCACCAACCCATGAGTGTCATGTCCGCCCCATAAGGCCGCAGTTCGTGAATGTGTTCAATGATCTCCATCCCACGTAACATCATGCCATCCGTTGCCATGTTCCCGTTTTCTTCTTCCTCCGCATCCACATTCCCGTCCTCAAGATCCACGGCGCACTTCCTTCGCAAAATACTCAATACACCCGTAAGCAAATTGGATACAGTCACCGTCGCCACAACCACCAAACTACTGCGTCTGTCCAGCGTTGCTGCAGCTGCTGCAAGCGCCGCCGCCGCACGCACGAGGCGCGCAAAAAAATCGTTTAATTGAACATCGACCCCCTCAAGGTCATTGACGTAGTATATAAGCCTCTCTACTGCATCCGGATCCCGTAGGTCAAAAAAAGCCAATGGAGTTTGGGCGAGTGCTTCGTAAAGTCGTCGCTTCACGGAATCTCGATGACAGGAAGCCGATGTGTGAATGTAATCCTCCGTCACACGCATCACCGCGACAGTGGCAACAAGACGTGCCCACTCAAAAGCCAACAGCCCCAGAACGGCCCTCATATTGGCATGGGACGATGTGTCAATGCAGCCGCCGCGTGAATACTGCAGAAAAAGCCTTGGGGTAACGCTCAGCAACTGTTCAATGTGGTCTCGCACCGCCAGACCCGTAATTGCACTGTGTGCTGCAACGGCAGTAAGCAGACCCATCATGGCGCAAGACACAAGTTTCTTCCAACCACCAACATACATATATTTGACCAAACTCCACGTGTTTTGTAACTGCAACAAACGTCTTCGTCGCCGTAAATGCCGTAGTTCCTCTGATAGAGAGAACCAGCAGGCTGCAATCCCTGCTGAAGAAGATGCGGAAAAAAACAACTCCAGTGGGCAAACCAACTCCCTGTAAAACACTGTGGAGTATTCGTCAAGGTCAGTCAGATCATCGCTGCACTGGCTAACATCCCCGTCAATCACCACCGCCTTGTAAACAGATCGTATGAGTTGCAGACGCCATAAAAACGCCAACGAGGCTGCAGAAATGATATCGTCTTTGGTAGTCATAGATGGCCCTCTCACCGCAGACCGCAGCAAGAGGAGGACCTCACGCCGATCCAGCAGATATCTCACCTGGTCTTCCCATATGATCCGAACGGCGTCAGGGAGAACGCCATCGGCAATATCCTCTGCAGCCACAGGCAAAGCGATACGTCTTTCCCCATCCTTCAGGGGTGTACGTGGAGCTTTGAGAATGGCATCACTCAGCTCAACCCAATACTGGCGCACTGACGGTGCATCTCTTTCCTCGTTGAATGGCTTGTCTCCAGCAGACGTCAATTGCGCCGCGCTGCTCTGCAGACGCCCACAACGCGCCTGAAACCACGCCACCGTGTAGTAAACGCCATCCGCCACCAGGACTATCCCAACAACACCCCAGACAAAAGTCTTGGATGACACCGCATGTTGCGTGGCTCGTCGGAAACGACATGAAATTTGATACATCAGTGCTAAAGAATCAGAGGCCGCCTTTCCACAGGGGAAGGGGAAGGCGGTAAAACGGCAAGAATCCCCCATCTTAGTCCACTACGCCCCAGCCCCTTTTATTATTATTATTATTATTATTGCCGGTTCAACAAATGATCCCTCTCCTAAACCTAAAAGTGACACACAGGAATACAAACAAGTAACAACAATAAAACCACATACAAGAAAAGTAATAACCGTCACAGCACGCTTTCATTGCTTCAATTGGCAGAGGTGTAAAAGAAAACAAAAAAAAAAGGCACGGCTCGCAATTCCACAGGAATTGCTCTCAACTCATAGATTTAAAAAGACGTGTGTGCAGGTCATATGATACCATAGTCATCCTCCTCTAACAACAAGAGTTCCTCATCTCGCCTACGTTTCCGCCCTGCGGTCTCCTCATCGCGACCATGACCGCCTCCTCCACTTCCCCCGGTGCCAGAGCAACCCCCAAAGCCACCCCCACCAAGAGCAATACCATCTCCGCCCTGTTCTCTGACCTCCCGGTCCTCCACGCCGCCCCCACTCGCCCATTCAGTGTTTGCCTCGCTAATTGCGGTGTCGTCCGTGGCGGTGATGAGCGTAGCGATGTATTTCCCATGACGATCACGACCGGCAATAGAGTAGTGCACCACAAGGCCCACAGAGGGTCGACGACGCGCAGGATCCATGAATGGATCCCATAGAAACGCATCGCCGGTAAATGACACGCCTTGCATGTCATTTTCATCGGGGCGAATGACACCGCGAAGTTCATCCGCATCGTACATGCAAATAGTCCCGCGATGACGTAATAGGCAATCATCCTTTTCACCTTCTGTAGATTTACAACCCTTTTCCCCAGAGGAACGGCCGAAGGCGCGAGTGAATATGCGTTCAAACCATGCCTGCTCCACCATCAATGCGTATCCATTGCCAGGTAACCCGCGGATGTTATCTGCCCGTAACCGACGACTCGAATGGTTCCCCATGCGGTTCCATCGAACCGTAAAACTCACAGGCTCTGGTACAGACAAAATAGGCTTTCCGACCTGCAGAAACAACAATAAAAGTTTTGCATTCTCTGGTGTAAGGAGTGCGGCTGCCTGTTGTACCAAACTGTTGGCATTTTTGTCAACTTCTCTAATCAGCTCAGCATCCTCGTCATTTTTTTCGTTCGGTTTGTTTTCTTCTTTCTGCTTCCTGTCGGTGTCACCTTCCTCGTCTCCTCCCTTTTCATTGGCATCTGGCATGACTTTCTCACCCTCCTCCACGTCACAAGGTGTCACTTTGTGACTGACAGGAGCTGCTGCGGTAGAAGGAAATGCCCCCAGCACAGAAACAGCGCCTCCCTTCATCCCGCCACCACCGGCCCCTCCTCCTCCTCTTCCAGTAGCCCGCCAGGAAGCATCTCTCAGATTCATAATATTCAGGAGGTTCCCACCGTAATACTCCTCTAATACGCGGCGTGTGAAGAAATATGCAACGTCGTCGCGAGTAAAATAAATATCTGGTCCACCCACCTCCGGCGCAACAAAGCCAAATCCCTTACTGTTGCGAAACAACACGCAGCGGCCCTCATGTCGGATCCCTTCTTCAGGCCGCATAATCACTATTTGCTCCTCCGCTGTCAGAGAAGGAAATGCAGATGCGTTCGCCATACTTTTTTTATGTTGTTGTTGTTGTTGTCTTTGACGCTGATTTGAGTCAAATGAACGCGAGGCGTCAGCGCCACTCGTCACCCCTTCTTCCTTTTCCTTGCTTTCATTGTCCGCTTTCTCCGCTTCCTCATGTTCCTCATCGTCCTCCACGAAGAGGGCGGCGTACTTTGTCGCCTCCTGCACCGCCTCATCGTCGGCGTCTAACTGAACATCCAAAACAGGCCGCAACGACACGTCGCCCATTGACGCTACCGCCGCCGCCCCCTCCTTCGCCGCCGCCGCATGGCGCATCATCGCACTCACATCCATAACGCCCGTGTTCGTGGACGCATCGAAAGACCCAAAAAGAAATCCCTCCTCCGAGACAACACTTTTCCTTTGCACAGCCGTCCTCTTTTCTTCTCCTTCGTCGTTGTTGTTTTTATTGTTTTCGTCGTCGCTCTCGACAGCAGCAGCTGCTGCAGCGCGTCTGCTTTCCATCAGAGCGCACCTCTCCCGCAGTGAGTCCGGTCCCGTGTCGAGAACCACATCGGCTGGGATAGTTGCAAACACGGCATCAAATAGGTTCCTTGACGTCAATCGAGTTGTGTTTGACATTCCTCTTGATAAAAAAAAAAAAAAAAAAGCTATTTTATATATTTTATATATATATATGCGTGATAAACGACAGCCAAAAAAATTAAAAAAAAAAAGAAGGAACATATGTGCAGAGAAGAGAAATAAAGAACAGCAAAAACGCACTGGAAAAAAAAACGAAAAAAAAAAAAAAAAAAAACAAGCCCTCAGTCCGTGTGGTGATGTTCTTTTCCGCTTCATTTTTTCTTTCCGTTTTTTTTTTTCTTTTCGTCACCCCATAGTTGAGAACTGCCTCTATTCCTCCACCACCAGAAGCGAGTGCCACTGAGCGAATGCACATGTGTGTACATATCTACAGAGAGCAGGTCCTCCACACCCTCTCTCCATCAGCATTGTTTCCCTGAGATGTGCTCGTTCCCCCCTCTCCACCCTTGCTTTTCTTTCACAAAAAATAACAACAACAAGACAACAACAACAAAAAAAAAAAAAAAGAATCTGTAGGGAAAGGGGATTCTATGTTTCTCTTCCTGGCCTCTCGTTTTTTCTTCCTGTGCTTTGCCGCCTGTGGAATGTTGGAGGCGGGGAAGTAAATTGTCATCGCCTCAGCAGTCGTGTCAGGACTTGCTCTTGGGCCTGCAGCCGCACCTCCAATGCCTCGCGTTCCATTGCCTCTACCTTAAGCGCCGCCTCAAGACGTCGTACGCGTAGCAGGAGCGCCTCCGTCTCCTCGGGTGAGGAGGGGGCAGTCAACATGCCTGGCAGTATGGCATCGTGGGTCTCGCCCTCCATTAACACCCGCACCCGCTGCTGTAGGACGGCGTTTTCAGCGGTCAGGTCCTGCACGAGCTGCCACAACTGCGCCACCTGCTGCGAGGACGAGGAGGAGGATGAGGAGGCAGGCGTTGACGTCATGGCGAGAGCGGGGCAAGCAAGTGGAGGCGAATGGACGGCCTTAGGGTGGTGTTGCGCACCGGTGGCGTGCGTGGACGGTGGTGCTTCTACGGGCCGCTGCGTCCCTGAAGGCACGGCGGATGCAGGCGCGTTGTGGATGACACGTGCCGGAACCGGGGATGAAGTCTCAAGCACCTCAAAGTTCGGTTCCTTCACAGCAGTCAAATCCCGCGCACCTCCGCCTCCCACCCCGTTCGGCACAAACCGCATTGGAGGGGGCGGAGAGGGAATTGGCATGCCTACGATTTCTAAAAAATGTGTATATGTTCGCAATGAAAAATATACGAAGGCCACACACACAAAAAAAAAAAAAAAGTGGGGGGGAAATAACGCACTTCCTTCAACTGCCACCTACCTCCCTCTCTCTCTCCCTCTCGCAGGGCAAAAATAAATTTAAAAAGTCAAAAGCAATCCAAAGCACAGACACACAGAGACACATACATACATACTTCCATACAAGCACACACAAACAAACAAACAAAAATAGGTGTAAAAAAAAAAAAAGGACAAGAGAAAAAAAAGAAACATCCACATCCACATCCACATCCACGCACATACAAAAAAAAAAAAAAAAAGTCGCAACTAACACGAATCCCCATTGACAGGAAAGAGTAATGAGGCTTGATGTTACGGTCCAAATCAAGGCGATCAGCAAACACGTCATCACGTCCTGACATTCACTACCACTCAGACAGCTTTAAAGCATGGACGCCAGAAATAGGGCAAAAAGAAAAAAAAAAAAGGGAGAAAAAAAGAAGAGAGTAAACAGAAAAAAGAGGGAAAAGGCGGAAAAGCATCTTGCGTCCTCTGTCCATGTCCTCCTTCGCTCCTGCCCTCCTTCGCTTCTCCCTCTCCTCCCCTTTCCTACTATCAGAAAAGGTTCTTGACCCTCCTCTTCATCCGACTCACTAACCCGTTGAAGTGCGGAGTCTCTGTGCGGCTCCATGACTCGCCCACTGACGACGCCGGCAGCGCCCCTGAAGAGAGAGATGATGAATCGGAGCTTGCCGTCAGGTTCGACCCCTTATCTAGCGGCAAAATCGAATATTCTCTTCCGTCCGTTGAAAGAGGCAACGGTGGACCATCATCACGAACTGCAGGAAACACCTCAACACTGGATAATATGCTGGAAGCGCGAGTTTCTCCGAAAGTGGAACTTTCACTGGCAAAGGCAGAAATGCGGCGCTGCACTGTACCAGCGTCCTGCCCCAAGGAGCTCACGGTGGCGGTGTCTAGCAGCGGCGAGCCATCCTCTGAGGACGGAGGGGAGTAACTAAAGCATGGCAGCGGAAAGTCCTCCATGGATGGAAGCAGCATGTCCTCAAAGAGTTTCACCTTAACGACGTTAGACATGACCAAACTCATGTCTGGCATAAGCTTCAAGACGGCATTCAGTATACCATCATGCGAGGCGACCTCCTGCGTGAACTCCAGCCGCAGTTGCGGTGGACGTGGACTACCAACCCAAATTTTGGTGGACGGCGGTGGCCCAATGCTCAGTCTCATATGATTCGAGAGTTCAAGAATTTTAATGTTAAATATGATGTCTGGAACCCGCACGCCTCGGTATGTGATGGCAAAGCGAAGGCTGAACTTCAGCCCGCCACGATACAAAAAGTCAAAGTCCAGCTCAATCTCCCCGTTAGGGGAAACACTCGGCTCGCCCAGCCCGCGAATCAGCGGAATCTCACCCCCAATCTCAAGTTGATCCAGCAGAATCTCCCCATGGATGTGCTTTGGAAGTTTACGGGACACCCGGTGCAGCTTTCGGCGCAGTTTCCCAATAAGAAGATCATGCAACCCGCTCGTTCGTGTATTTTCAAAGTACAGGCGGGCCACGACGAGGTTAAATACATCCGTGAAGGGAAGATGTTTGATAAACATGCGCCACTCCTCGGACTGTGGTGTGGCTTGAAGCAAATTAAACCAACGCTCCATCTCACGCCGAGTGGGAAGCTTAAAAACTACGGCTGTCCAGTCGCCAAAGCACGGTTCGTTATCTACATCCTCAAGGTCCAATTCACCCATGCACATCAAACCGTTTTCATCCCCGTAGATGTTTTCTCGATTGTTTCCATCGTTATTTTCCTCAAACCCCTCTCTGGAATAATGATCCCCATGACGATGACGGCGTTGGCGTTGGCGACGGCCACTCCCCTCCCCTTCTTCCTCTTCCTCTTGCTTACGCTGTTGTCGACGTTGCTGACGTGACATCTCCTTCATAGGATCCTCAATAAAGAGCGGAAGTCCTTCTTTACGCCGCAGCACAAGACATTTCCCCCGTATGGGCGCTTGTCGCTTGGTTGTGTCTGTGTGACGATGATACTTGGACAACTTTTCCAATGCGCTGCTAACAATGGCGGTGTTAATCTTCCCAATCAAATGCTCCGCATCAACAATCGTTTGATCACCATCCTTTGACCTATGACTACTATCAATTTGATATACGGAAATTGTTTTGCCAAACAGTACGGCACGAATAGGGATGGCGTTGCCCACAATGTCATTGTCATAGCGTGCCATCATGCATATAGCTTCCACCTTCCATACGCACAGCTCATCGCCGCAAGTGTTCCCAACACGTTTTTGCAGCCTCATCTCCTTTTGCTCCACAGCAGTTTCAATCATCACCCCCGCCTTCACGAACAAGAAAGAAATAAGGAAAAGAGTCGTCGCCGCCCCTCCAATGACACCGCACACAAAAATCAACCAAGATGCCATCTCACCTACAGGAAGAGGGGACGGTGTACCTTTCAGTCTCTGCCTATATATATATATATATATATTTATTTGTGTGTGTGTCTATAATGTGTGCAGGGGTGGGTCTATTGGTTGTCCTCCCCTACCCTGTTCTCTGGTTAAGTGCCCTATTCTTCAACGAGCCACTCGATGCTCCCTACCGTGAAAAGATGGAGGAAGGTGCACACAGTGGCAATGTAAAAAAGGAGGTGGTCTGCCGACAGATGGCTGCACAAAAAATACGCACACACGCACACACCAATCCCCTGCGGCAGTAAACCCCTTTCATGTTGCGCCCAACGCATGCAAAGATGACAGTGTACACACGCACAAATACAAAAAAAAAAAAAAAAAAGGAACACAACACCATCAAAGACAGCACGGTACTGTCCTGACAACCCCTTTACATGACACACAAACAAACATCAAGTCACACCCCACCCCACCTCTCTGTCTCTCTTTCTCTCTCCTTCTTTTTTCCTCTCATTGATTCACATGCAATAAATAAACGCTCATGGAGATCACCAAGAAAAAAAAAAAAAAAAATCTCCAAAGAAGCGAATCATCCAAAGTTCACTTCACATTTCTGCCAGTGGCTGCAACCAATTTTTTTTTTATTGTGTGTGTGTGTGTGTGTGTGTGTGTGTATCACGCCCCTCCCACCGCTCACTTCGCTGTGCATATATTTATTTATATATTTATTTGTATATACAAGTCTACATACAAAGCTAAAAGAAAAAAAAAAAAAAGGAAAAGAAAGAGGTGAATAATGTGGGTTGTCCGTCTCATCCACCCCCAACGCCATATATCTTGCACATACACACATACAGGGAGAGAGGGAGAGAGAGAGAAAGAGAGAGATGTGGGGGAGATGCTCCCTTCTGTGCATGCGTATTTGTCCCGCTATTGTTTTCTCTCTTATCTCCCCCCTCCCTCCCTCATCAAACTCGGCAGCCTCCGTTCACAAGCAAAAAAAAAGGAAAAAAGGAAAAAGAAACAAAAAAATCATGATATTTCACGCTAGCAATGAGATAGTGTCATGAAGATTCACATCACTCCGGAATGTGGGAAAAAGAATTTATGAAGCAACGCAGGAAAAGGAAAAAGGGACAGAAGCTCACTTTTTTTTTTTTTAATTTGCCGCAGATGAAAAGAAGACTCACTTTCAAAAAGAGCCCCCAGTAAGAGATTCTGGCATTCCGCGAACGCGTTTCACAGCCAGCCGCATCACATTACGCGCCTTAACTTTTAGTCGCAGCCTCCGCCCGTCCTCCGAGTTCGGCGGTAATGAAGCAATGTTCGAAGGCGACAAGAGGACCCCTTGACTGAGTTCACGAAGAGTGGCCGTTGTTGCCAGCACGCTACCACTGACATTCACAGTACTGCTGCTGTCGCCATGGCCCATAGAGTGTGTACCCTCATCCACGGATGCTATTACTTTCAACGCCGGGGTTCGGGCAGGGCTGAAAAATTCGCTCTCTTCTTTTGTGGTGCTCCCAAAGCCGTCGATTGTGGCTTCTTCCAAAGTTCCCGATGCCGGTGGCTCCTGTTGGAGATTGGCTTGACCCCGGCTACGTGCCACGGCGTTGTGTCTATCAAACCGCATATCCCACTTCTTCTTCTGTAACGCATTCGGCGACGACGGCGGTGTCTTTTCTAGACTCGGCAGCGGGAAGTCATCCAGGGCAGGAAGGCCCATGTCATGCATGAGGTACAGTTTGATGAGGTTGGATGCGATGGGGCTCAGGTCTGGCAGCGAAACGAGGATGCGGTGCAGAAATCCCCGGCCGGACTGCATGCCTTGATGCACCTCCAGGCGAATATCCGGTGGTGAAAGGATGCCAAGCCAAAACTTCTTGCTGGGCGGTGGTCCCACACTAACACGCATACGCGCCGAGAGGTACTTAATCTTTACGGAGAACACAACGTGCGGGATGCGAATACCGCGGTAGGTGAGATTGAGACACAAACATAACGTCGCCCCGCCGCGGTAAAGCAGATCAAAGTCAAATATCATCTCTCCACCGGCCACAATCCTTGGAGAAGAGAAATTGCTAAAGATAGGGACCTCCTCCCCAATGAGGAAGTCATCCAAGAGGATCCGCCCCTCAATCTCCCGTGGGAACTTCTTCATGCTCAATTCATCAAAGTTCTTCTGCAACTTTGCTCCTATAAAATTGGTCAGTGCCGTTGTGCGCATGTTCTGTCGGAAAAGACGCGTAAGAACAAGATTGAATGAATCGGGTGTGGTGATTGTCTGTAGGTAGTCCCGCCACTGCGCGGCCTCCTGTTGTCCCCTGAGTAAGCTCTGCCACCGCTCCTGCTCCCGCATGTAGTAGAACTTCACAACGATAGTGTGTTTATTCCCGGGGCGAGATTCCGCGTCACTCTCCGCCACTGCAAGGGAGCCATAGACCTTTTCTTGGTTGCTACTGCCGCTGCTACTCTTAACAATCCCGTTCACACTTAAAACGGTGCTGTCACCCACGTTGTTTTTGGCACTTCGCGTCATGCCTGAGTTCGAAGCGGTGCCACCACGAAAAGACGCGTACGTCCCTGAAGGAGAACCTTCCCTATCCTCTTCATCGCCCTCAAACAAAGGCCCGCCGTCGCGGGGACGGATGTGCAACACGTGTCCGTGTACCGCCCCTGCATTCCCCCCGCGACGGCTGCCACCCGGCAGAAAAGAGGGCTGCACAACGATGCGATCGGTTCGCACACGACCTCTCAACCGCTCCCCAGTGATGACACGCTCGTGGCTGCCAACCCCGTGCGAGTTCTGCACCTCGTATACAAACAAGTACTTGTCGTGCAGCACCAACCGGCAGTCATGCGCCGCGCCAAACACATTTTCATCCGTTAAATAAGAGAGTCGGCACACGGACATGTGTCGCGCAGGCGAGACGCCTGTCGTATCCGGCAGTGGCGTTTTTGAGTCCGCCGAGTACAAAGCGCTCAACGACGTGCTGCTAATGGCGCTCTCGTTGTAGCTCGTCTGCCTAAAATGGGTGGCGGCAACGTCTTTTCCAGAAAGGTATGCGTACAAGAACCACAAGACTTTATTTCCACAATGCACGAATTGTGTGAAACTTTCAAGGCCGTAAAGGTAACAGATCGGCACGGCAATGACGCCGGCAATCCAACCGTACAGAAACAACGTAAATATTTCCAACATTTCCTTCCTTTCATGAAGACAATATATATATATATATATATATATATCTGCAAACTAAACTAATAATAAGAGCAGCCACTATATATATATATATATGTTTATATATGTGTACATATAATCAAGGCAAAGATGGAAAAAAAAAAGAAATACCGGCAAGTGAGGAGCATAAAGCGTAAGAACATATATATATATATATACATGTGCGTCGTGTAGCAACTGCAATGGAGGTAACTCCCCCTTTATCACGATGTCCACCTCTCAACACACACACACACACACTACGTAATAAATAAATATATAAATAAATACACGCAGATTCCTCTCTCACCTTCTCCCCGTGGATGTCAACAAATAAACTGGAAAACAGGAAACAAGAAGGACACACTCGGTTCAATGCTGTGTTGGTTCAAGCCACACCTTCAAATAAAAACTGCAAGGGCAAAGACAAGCCCTCTTTATCTTCCCTTCGTGTGGGAAACAAACATGTACTCCATAAACGGAAAACCCACTTATCCATGTATGATGAACCAAAAACAAAAAAATAAACACACAAAAGGAGAGAGACAAAACCATCCAGAGACGATCCAACAGAAATAGAGAGAGAGAGAGAAAGAAAAAAATGAAAAAGTCTCCCTGGTGATGCGGAAAAAAACTTCAAACAGCAGAAAAAAAAAGAATAAAGGGGGAGGAGGGAAAAGGATCAAGGGAACACAACCTAATCTCTACACAAGGCAGAACTCCCCATTTCCAGACAGGAAAGCATGTCATTTAACTGCCGATACCACTTGTGTTGCCACCGGCGGGACTGCAGTCGCACCATTTTGTCGTGGGAACCACACAACTCGCCAACACCTCGCAGAAGCGGCGGGTACCGCCCCTCAGCACATGCAATGAAATTTCGCCACAGTAATTTCATTTGAACACAAACTTCACGGTGAAGAGATGCCTCTGCGGCGCGTACGCAACGAAGGTACGCAACATCCGCCGGGACTCCCTTCGCAAAAGGTTTCTGCGTCCTGTAAACTTCGCCTGCACAAGCTGTTTGCGTCAAAGGTAGAAACCATTCTCTTTCCCTTCCGAGGTTCTTTTCACTCGACGCAAAGGCCGCTGCGCTGCCGCTGGTTGTCATTGCTGGTGGTTTGCGGTATTCCGCCAGGTTTGGCATGTTCGAGAGAAGTGGAAAGTACTGCAGGGATTCGGGAAAAAAAACGTTCTCTAAATTCATCTCGATAGAACTCTTTGTTGCCCGCATTCTTCTTTTTGGCCCAGCACCGGAGGGAAACAACAGCAACAGCGTGGGCTCCTTTGAAAAATCCGCCATCTCCAATGCCATATGGAGCAGATAATTGTGCCCCTTGACGACAAACGGGTAATTGCCACTGAGTGACTTCCTCCAGATGCGGACGGCATGTAGCAGCACCACAGAGATCCGCTGTAATTGGTGCATAAAGTAAAAAACACCACGGCGGTAGTAACGTCTCTTTTTCACCAACGCCCCAATTCGAGACGGCACCGAAACAGCATCATCTGCAAACGTGACGGGCCGCCGTGGAGCCACAGAGGGCTGCAATTGCCCCCGCAAACTCCGTCGTCGCGGTAATCCCATGTGTGAGCCACGCCGTTGCGTCGTGTCTCCATTGCTCTCGTCATCCATTTCTGTGGAAACCGCCCCAGTGCCGAGGTCAGACGCTGCCATCGCCAAAAAATCCCGTAGTTTCGACACGATCGTCTCTCGTTGGTCTACGGCGTCCAAAACGGCCAAAGTCTGAGCCTGATGCTCCAGAAGAAGCCGGCGTAGTTGCATGATGTCAGCAACGGCTGCTTCATTCCGTCCTACAGCCTCCATGCCCCTAACAGAATTGTCAACATCATCAACAGCCCCAATCAGGGACGGCCGATTTCCTAAGAATGTCTTTGCTGCATGTTTATAAGAGTTGGCGTTTAAGCGGTTAGAGACACAATGGCCAAATTTCGACCGCTTCTCTGCTAACATCCTCTTTTTTTCGTGGTTGCTCAATGCTTCATGGCAGACGGGGTGCCGAGAGTGCGTGCCTCCTGTCACTAGGGTAAAGAAGGGGCCTACGGCGGCGTCATTCACGCCAGAGTCATCATGATGATTGCATGCCGGTTTGACGGTAGGGACCGACGTCACGCATGGCGAGCGTGTCTCCAGAATGTCCGTAGAAAAGCTGCCTTTCTTTGTTATCTTCTCATATAAGTTGCAAGGTGTTGCTTCACACGTCTTGACGGCATCTTCTCCTGATAAAGATTTAGATAATAAGTTTGTCTTTTCTCCCCTTCTTCCTCTATGCTCCAAAGGAGATATGATGTATTTCTCCAACACATCAACATCTATTGTTGGAAGGCAACAACTCCGCATCAGTGTGCGTACCTCCTTCACAAGTTCCTGTACGGCCAACGCCGCACGAAGACTTAAAAATCTCTTCGTAAATGCATCCCGCTGCCTCGGCGCATGTGAATACCACGGCATGAACGAGATGTTTACATGCCCCTTCTCCGTCACACACCATGCAGCCACGCCGTTATCCATATTCTCGCAATGGCCACGCTGGGCTGTGGCACGAGGCGTCTCTCGATTGAACTCAACGGACATTTCATGTCTCCTCCTCCGCCTCCTCCTTATTATGCTCTTCTCTGACGCAGCGGAGATGTCTGTTGTCGCATACTCGGGCATTGCCTATTCCGTCTCCTCGTGTTGTTGCTGCTGCAATGCTCTCTTCCCCTCGCCCTCACTGTGCAGCAACGCCAATATCCGCACAAATGGGAGCGACCTTTTTTGCCAATCACACTCACCCCACCCACCAGAAGTATGTATATATATATATATATATATATATATACAAAAACAACAAAGCTACCACCCACCCATCCAAAAGAACAAAAAAAAAAAAAAAAGATGCCACACATACATACACACAAACAGAGAGGGAGAAGGGAGAGGAAAAAGAATTACAAGAGAAGAATAAACAGAGCGTAAAATGTATTTTCTTCACTCTGCATGTGTAGACATTTAAGTGAGCCCGTAGAAAAAAAAACTTGAAAACTACAGGTGCTCCTCTTCACAATAATGATAAAAAAGGATATATATACACAAAAAAAAAAAAAAATGTGTCAAAAGAGGCTCGACATCCCTCGAGTATGCAAACATCGTGTGCGGTGGGCAAGGATGGACCACACACGAGAACATGCCATTTTTATCAAAGAATGAGGCAAAACAACTCCGATCTTCGGTGGCAGTCTTGGCAACAAAAGACGGGAGTAGATGGCATTTCCCACATGCTTCTTTTCAAGCTCTGCGATCGTGCTATTTGTCACGGCCGCTATAAGAGGCGCCTCAGCACGGATGGGGCTTCTGGCATCCTCCATGCGAATAGCAAAAAGGGCAACCTGCTCCAGACGTTCAATTGTTTTTCGATTAACATGGCAAAATGGTGGGTGACGCTTCGGGTAAAAAACACTTGTGTTCGCAATGCCATTAATGTAAAACGCGCTCCCTTGATCAAGAAAGATGTACCGCGGTGTGCTTTTAGAGGGTTGCTCACATACGCGTTTGGCCCGTGCGACGTAACAGGGCAGCGTAGGTGCACATGCCGCCACCACATTTGTGTTGTGCCCCCGCCATCGATCATAGTTGGCAATAATTGCATCAAATGCTAATTGATCCCAACGCTCACGCGTCATCAACTCCTGCGACACTGTCAGTCTCGTCTCTTCTTTATCTCCACTGCCAATGCTTTTGTTTTCCTCAAAACAATTTACAATCCAATCATCATCGTCCTCATCACCGTTTTTGCCGGTACTTTTTTTGTCGCCATGCGCCCTCCCCTTCGCCCTTTCATGCAGTATATAACCCCCAAAGATTGAATTCTCTTCCTTATCCACGTCCCAAGTCCAAAGCTGTACCGATGCCAGAATACATCTCGGCTTCGGCATCCCAAGTGTATTTGATAGACGTGGATCCTGACACAATGACGTGGCCGCTTCCCCCCGCTTAGATGTAAATACCGCGGTTTCCATCCACCGTACATAGAAGGACCCAAGCGTGGCAGCGGCAGCTTTAATGTAATCCACAGGGAACTCCACCCACGCTGTTGGCGGTACACGCCGAAACCCAAGAACTCGGTCCATATGAAACGCCACAGTCTCGCTCGCCGGCTCCAGTACAAATCTCTTCTGGGAAAGTTTAACCACTGCCGTGATGTTGCCGTGACGAAAGGAGAGAAGTAACTTAATCGTACGTCCGTACGAAAGAATACTTGACATGGGCTTCAGCGCTAGCCAGTTTGCAGGGTTTTTAAGGTACGCCACGCAGGCGAAATCCTTGCTCGGGGTGTAGTCCACGTCTGTTGGGTCGCAAAATTGCAACAAGCCAACATGTCCCTTCAGCGCATTACGGATTTTCACATTATACTCAGGTAAACGTGCTTCCTTGGCGTAACATGCTTCAAGCTCTTCAGATGGCTGTGGCTTCGCGCCAACCTCCACAAATTTATTCTTGTCACTATGAGTACCATCTGAAAGCTCGGGTAACAACACACCATGATTTTGGTATGTCTTAATAGCCTTAAATTTATCCGAGCTCTGCGTCACGCTTTCCGTCGTTTGATTCAATAACACGGTATACTCCTTCCTGGCCCATGACCAGTTCATTTGGGAAAATCCCTCGGGAAACACGCTTGGCTCCGGCGAGATCTTCGGTAGGGTGTCCAGCGGTTGACAGCCACTTAACAGTAAACTCAGCGATGGTGCATTCGCATTTGTCATCGGTCCCTTCCAAAGCGTCCCTACCCAAGGATGCGGGAATTGTGATGGTGAGGCTATCAACTGACTTTTGCTGCGTCCATCCCGCCCCTGAGTTTTATCCGTGAAATGCTCATAGTTGAATTTCGTGAAGTAGAAAAGCAACAAATTGATTGCTGTAAGTACCGTCAAAATAAAAAGAAGACGCCGATTCAAAAACCGCGACCAAAAGCCTATTCGACGTTGCAGTCGTGTAAATCCGCGTTTCCACGGGTTAAGAAACATGTGCAGCAGCAGGAACTAAACCAAAACATCAAGCAATAACCCCCGTCAAAAAGAAAAAAGAAAAAAGGGAAACATGAAGGAAAAAGAGTAAAAAATATAAAATAAAATAAAATAAATGCGTGCATAAATGAATAGCAAGTGCATGGCTCTCCTGTTTCACGCCATTTTCTTTCTCGCTCCCTTTTTTTTTTTTTTTTTTCTATCTCTCTCCCCTTCATGTGTGCACGCGTGTGTGTGTATTTCTGTGTGTGTGTGTGTGTCTGTTTATCTTGCCTCCTCTTTCCTCAGCGTCAGGTACATATACCCCAACCAACTTATTCACCCGCTCATAAACCCAGCAAGCGACGAAGGCGTTGATTCTCAGATCGTAATTCACGCAGGACTCTCTTTTGTTTCCGCAAAGGCAACTCCATTGCCTCGAGACAGCGAGTGATGTCCTCACGCAGTGCCGCATACTCCGCGCGCCGCTCAGCAACTTCACGCTCAGCCATTAGCACTCGATGTGCCAATTCATCCGCGGCTCTTTGCATGTTCATGACAGCCTCTGCAGTCATGGCTGTTTCCTCTTGCCGCGTATCTATTGCGTCCCATTCCCGCTGCCCCGAATGATTCGGATGCAAATGCGGCTGTTGTATTCGTGGCGACCCGCATGGCTGCTTCCCCTCTCTTCTTTCCTCTATTTTTTCCTTGCTGCCTCCCCTTCCAGCTTTTTGCATAATAATCTCCTGCCATGAATGGGTGATTCTCTTTACCTCCATCAACGGGGATTTATCTCTCCTCCCCGCCCCTCCTCCCATCGTCGAACTGCTCCCGCTGTGAGTAGCGTCAAAGGCATGTGTTGTTTCCTTTTTGGTCTCTCTTGACACACGACGCTCAGAAACCGACGCAGATGGTTCCACCTCCCTCTTTTTTTGCCGTTCGGGGAGCAACCAATCCTCTTTTCCTTCTCCTGCCTTAACCCGTTCTTCTTCTATGCGGCGATGGCGTCGTCCCCCTATGGCGGGAAAAACCTCCTGCAGCCGCACCACCTGCCCGGCATATGGGGACGGTGGATGTTCACTGCTCTCCACAAATGACGGTCTCGTCCACGCCGGTGGGGATTCGTCGGGCGGGCTCCAGTGAGACATCGCAAGTGGATGCCGCCCCTTTATTTCCTCCCCCACCGTTGCCTGCGTACTACTAGAGACCAACGCAGTCTCCTCCACCCAGGCGTCTACACGTGCGGCATGCGCCGTACCACCGCTGTGCTGCATCTCTGCCATGATCGACAACGTTGATGCGGTATCACTACCCTGTTTTTCTCTCCCATTCTCAACGCCACTATTGATATCAGCGGTGGTAGCGGCTTGCAACTGCGGCGCAGACTCCTCTGCAAGCACCATATCCCATCCCAGCGTGAAGAGTGGTCGACGCCCCAAATACCTTCCAGGAGAGCTCAAATCATTATTCAAAATGTCACTTGCCATCTCTCGCCGCATCTATGGCTCTCCAGATGCAGCCATTAATGCTCGGGACGGGCCCCTTGACCAAACCGCCACGACAGAAAACAGCGCCTGGCTCGTGTTTCAGCCGTCTTCGTTAAAGTGCCGTCGAAGAAAAAGCGGGAAAAAGGCAGAAGAGAAAAGTGTCGTGAGTGTGGGAACCCCAAAACAAAGAAGAAATAAATGAACAAAGGGTCAAAAAAAAAAAACGACAATAAGAAAAACAGAAAAAGGGATTCAACACCCAATGTGGGATGCATCTTTTGTTCCTCGCATGGATCTTCGCTTTTTCTCTATTGCCTCCCCGTGTGGATAGCATCCGACATTTAACACCTCCCCGACCACGCATAGACGGATTGAGAGGGCAGCCAAAGGGAGAAGAAAGAATAATAATAATAATAAATGTTTTATACATACGTGGAGAAATAAAATAAAATCCCCCAATGACTTTCGCTAAAGAAATCCTCTTCCCACTCTCTCTCGCTCTCTCGCTCTCTGTCTCTCTCTCTCTCATTGACGCCCGCAGAATCCAGGGATGTCAGTCTACATGTATATGTGTGTTGAGGTATATGGGTGTTTCTAAATGAATACACGGCTTCTCTCCTTCTTCTTCTTCTTCTTCTTCTCTCTTTCTCTCACCCCTCCCCATTTTTTTATTTCACTCCATCACCCGCTGCCAAATAAATAAACATACATACATACATAAAATACATAAATGGCAAATCACCTCAGACCCAAACAATAAAAAAAAAAAAAAAAAAAATGAGGAAATAAAATCATGAAGTTGTACAATAATAATAATAATAATAATAATAAAACAATGATGATCACAGTGCTGATAACTATATATATATATATATGTCGTATGGCAAACACACCACTGTACTCTAGACATGCATACACACAGAAAGAGAAAGAGAAAGAGAAAGGGATAAACAGGCATGCATGCATGTATGGGTGTATGTATGTCAAAAAGTTCTTTTTTCTTTTTTTTTTTTTTTGTGTTGTTGTTGTTGGGCTTTGGCTTCTCTTTTCTCGCGGCTCAAAACCGCCGTGCAGTTTCACGACAAATAAGTCTTCTTTCTTTTTTCCTTTTTTTGGGGGGCGGTTTTGGGGGGTTTTGGGTTTTTGTTTCTTTTATTTTCCGTTTCTTTTATTTGTTTTTGTTTTTGTTTGTTTGTTTTTTCTTTTTCCTCTAACTTATTTGCTCCTCATTTTTCTTTTTTTCCTTCTCCATCCAACAAACCGCAGTCAACATATTCCACCCACCCACACACACACACACACACCAATTGGGCCCAATTTTGTTGCTGTTGTTGTTTTTTAGTTTACATGTTCATTCGTAATTTTTGGCCCAACTCCGAATGCCGGAGGATTTTGTGATGCCCTTCCCCTTGCCCAACGTATGCGACATATGAGTCTGTGTGTGTGTGTGGGTGTGTGTGTGTGTGTGTGTGCACAACAACAACAACAACGACACTGCCGATGACGGCATTCCGCTTCATTTCCCTATCTCTCCGTTCTACTGTGGTACGGCATCCGCATTTTCCCTACCAGAATCATGACTTTACAATAATTTGGAAGATGTCACAGCCACGCAGCACCTGAACGAGGAAGTTGTGGTGCTCACACAGCACGTCAACGTACTTCTGCAGGGCGGGGTTCACGGTAAGCTCCTCTTCCGGCAAATCCACAAACTCCTCGCGAGCCTCGTGTTGGATTTGCATCGTGCGGTTTGACAGCACCTCCCGCAGGTGCGACAAGGAGTGAAGAGAGTACCCAGCGACGTCAAGGATCATGTCACCTGCCTGGAACTGCAGATCGTCCTCCTCCACCCTCGGCAGCGGGCGTTCGATACTTGTGACCTCAAGATTCTTGTTGATGCTGCAGCCAAGAATGCCCTCAATTGCAAGATTGGCACTGGGCGGGTGGTCCATGTCCTCTGGCACAAACGTCATGTAGTGAAATGGCTTCGCCTGACGCGGGGTACCAGTCACACGACGACGGCGTTGGGGACTTTCAAGATCCGCCATCGCAGCCTCGGCGGCCAAACGTGCAGCTTCCTCGACAAGCACATCATTCAGCCCGGAGTCAAACAACTCCACGAGTACCTCCCACTCGTCCTGCTCCTCGCTCAATACCCCCTTGCGGTAGTACTGCTCCTCATTGCTCAAATTGGTCATATCTTTCCGCTCCTGCCGGCGGCGCTCCAGCATGGCCCGGTTACAATGCATAATGCTCTCAAGCATAAAGACATGCTCGTCAAGCTCCTTGAGCTCAATCTCGTTTCGAGCCGCATCCTCCGTCGTGAAAATAAACTCCCGCCGAAACAGGCGTCGACGACGTTCCTCATCACTGAAAAGATGCGTGCGTTCGGCAACCTCCTCCGCAAAAAGAGCCTGCCACGCTTGCGGTGAGAAGAACGCCGCACGCGGCACACCCCCGCTTGTAGGTGTCTTGCCTTTGCACACAATATCCAGCCATTCCTTCATTTCATCCGCAGCCAAAATCATACGTGCCGTTCTCTCATCTCCGACGATCGCCTCCACCCTGTCCTGCAATACATCAATAAGAAAACTGCGCATATTGGCATAGATCTGCCTCCGTTGCTTTGCCTCCGCCTCTATAAGACGCTGTCGGCAGCACCGCTCATCCACCTCTGTCTGTGATGAAACACCCACCAACACACGTGGGTTCATCATGAGATCAAGCACCAGGCGATCCTCACGCTCCTGATCTGCAACACGCCAACGACGCTCCCTTTCTTGTGTAAACATGCGTACAAAAGTAAAGTTGCGATTTTGAGCCCGAGCCAATACCTGCAATTGTCGCGCGTAACCAGCCTCCACTTCAGCACGCTGAACTTGTTCCTCTACCTCCAGTGCATTCTGTAACACCGCGATAGGTTTTTTATGGTTCCAATCAGTTTTACAACCCGCGTCTTGGCGTTCTTGTGCCTCTGAAAGGACAATTCGACTGCGTCGTGAATCCTCATCCCGCTCCAACTGTCCCAGTTGCTGTCGAAGACGCTCTTGTTGAAAGAATTTTTGTTTCCGTTCCCGTTCACGGATGCGTTCCTGTTCACGTTGTTGAACGCGCTCCTGTGTGATTCTTTCCAACTCACGCATTCTTCCATTCATGCCTGTCATGCTGCCCTCCGTTGTAATGTCCCCGTCTTCCACCGAATCAATTTCTTCATCCGCAACGCGCAAGTAAGAAAGCGAGTTGGTGTGATTTCCCCTCGGTGTGACTGCTCGAGAAGTACCCCTTGACCCATGACGGTTGCCGCGGTAGAATTGGCCTAAAGCAGCAGGGGACTCGGGAAAACAATGCCGGATTTCGTAAAGCCGTTTCAAGAACAAGAAAGGTTGAGTAGTGAAACGACGCTCTATCGTTTCACGTGGTAAATGGTCACGGCTATGGTGAATCTCCGCCGTGATGCGCATCCCTGGTTGATCCAGAGAAACATTTGTGATGGTCACAAGACGGCGCGGTAACTTCAGAATTAGGCATGTGTCT